GCTGCCGGCCAAAAATGGCGTCAACGAGAGCATGACCAGAGTAAGTCGCCAGTTGTAAACGAAGCCAATAACAAAGCCGGAGAGAAAAGCTGCCACAAACTGAATTAATAGCGAGAACTTATCGCCGATGCCCTCACGTATCCGTTCTATGTCACTAAATGAGGTAGTTGACTTAAGCGAGGTCATCGCAAAATTGCCGTTAAGTTTACTCGTTCAGCTTCGACGTGAGTTCGCCGGATGGATGGCGGTCGTACCACGAAACGTCCAGATGAAGGACGCTGCGGAAAAACTCTCTTCTGATTCGGAACATCTGTCGTTCACAGGTGTAGCTCCAACAGGAGACCTGAAATAAGGTAGAAGTGCGAAGCACGTGACGAAAGAATCTGCGGGAATTCATGCTATAATTAAAGTGAAAAACATCATCATTCTCTCACACGGTCCCCTAGACGGCTGGCTCCAAACGGACGGTGCATCTTCTACAATATTTGTAATATTTGTAATATTGTAATATTGTAATTGCAATATTTGCCACCTGAACTTCCACAGAATAACTTGCTTATATTTTTTTGTTTAAGGTTGAAATGGTTGATTGCTTGCAATCATTTTATGTGATTTTGTTCCAACTCATTACTGATATTTCATTTGGATGCGTTTCTTCACCTATGCTCAGGTAATTTTTGTGCAACTCAAGGATTGCTGTGGTTTAAGTAACTGAGATGACTGAGAATGGATTAATCGATGATTAATTAATTAGTAAAAACTGATTTACTGATTCATCATCTGAAGGTGATTATTATGAACTGATTAAAATAGTGGATACAAACAGGTATATCCTTCCTCAAGGTCAAAATAAATGAAGGCGAAGAAACCCGGGAATGTATTGTCAGACATAATTGTGACAAGAAGCACTTCGTAATTGGTGTCCAGTACTTTCATATTGCATTAAATCTTTCCATTTATTACGCCGCAAATTGGGAGTTGAAGATGTTTGTTTTACACCCAAGCTTTGGGATAAAAAGAAGCCTTATGAGCCTTAGAAACAATACGGAAATAGAACTATAGTAAATGTCGGTAAAAAATTATTACATCCACCTAGTTATCGACTCAATTACGAAAGTAGTATTTGAAAATTTAAATATTGCTATGCAACATTTCAAAACCATAATCTAAATTGTTAGGAACTCTGAACTTTTGGAGAAAAAGAGTCAATCCTGTAACGTAATTTCAACTGCTTTCCACTGTTCCGTATTACCACCTGCAAAGTCATGATGATGGCGATGTCTGGGGAGAAAATGCATGAAATTTGAGATGCTCGCGAAAGTCAGATTTTGGAGGTGACACAAAAATAGATAGATTGTAGTTTTTAAAAATTGGAATGAAACAGCCATTGATCGAACCTGCTACAGAGAATAGAACGAGATGCACTTCAATGGCAAGAAACTTCATGTGTATGCCAGTTACTTTCCCACTGAACGCCTCAGTAAAATATAGGCTAGCTGAGTTTGCGTGGCAATACGCAAATGGTTAGAACAAAGGTCGGTGTTCGTTATTACATCTGACCTTGGAGGATTTATGCCTCAGTCAGCATACTCAGACAGAGAAGGAATTATTTTGATGATCACGTGACAGCATATAAGGACAATTTGCCGCTGAAACGTCATTCATGTTAAAGTGAATGAAACGATGTTAGACCTATTCAGAACTGCAGATGATTCAAATATCGCGATGCTGGAAACGCAGTGGTAAGTGTCAAAGAGATCGGATTCCACATACGGAGGCACCCGGTTAGAAACTGAAAGATTTGTCATAGAGAGCAAGAGATCCCCCTCCCCCCCCATGCTGCTTCAGTGCAACCAAAGTAGCAAATGGTTGACTTACCAATAATGAGGACAATTTGGTAATTAAATTTACGTAAATTTAAATTTGTGGTTCCATCTTGTGCTGAATGCTTAGTCAACGATCAGGAGGGTTAAAACGAATTGCACCCGGAATGCTCGCGCATCAGTCAGCACGATCGGATATCTCGCATGCTTTGGCGTGATCAGGTGAAACACCATGCAAATCCTACTATTAGATGGACGAAAACAATGGCATGTTTTACAGATGGTTGCTTCGCAGCAAAGTGACGTGAACTTATTGCTCAACTGAATTAGCAGTTATTAAAAGAAAACTCTTCCCGTGTTTGGGTTTAATCCCGACATGTTTAAAATGCAAAACAGACTGCTGCTCATTAAGCCATTGTCCCCTGGTATTTAAGTGTGGTCATGGTAGAATCGGCTTTGCTGTCCAAAGCGAGAGATCACTGGCATTAAACTTAGCCTTGAAGTACTTCATAACTGAGTACTTACTGTTGAGCCGTTTGGATAGGCAATACGTCTTTGCACTGTGAAATGCACCGCATTCGCAATCTTTCAGCACTTTTGCAATAAAATACTAATTACTACATTGTAGAGGGAAGAATTCTCTCTGAAAACAGAATCAAACCGCACGCATTCTGACCTCATGGTCGATGTCTGTCGAGCTTCGGCTCTGACACGAAAAACTTATGGATACAATGATCTATGATTTATGAATACTCGGAATAAATGATTTTTGCACAATCAATTTTTTAGCAGGGCCAGTTTTCTTCTCTTATTCTCCGCATCTGCTGGTAATCAGCACAGAAAACTACCCTCGGAGGACCCCGCTTATAAGACCAAGCAAGAGCAAGGGAACAGTGTAATGCAACTGGCATCTAGTTGTGGAGGTGTGGAGGAGTTGGTCAGTGAATCAGTTGAGACGCTCCGGTGTACAAACGTATTTTGGACGATTATGATGCCAGATTCATTCATCACTACAGGTGCCCAAATGCCATGGAATGGTGACCTCCTTCAATGCCCCCCCCCCGCCTATTGGAAATTTCCTTATGGTAAAAATGTATAATGAAACCAGGTGACAGAGAAATGATATGCAAAACATGAATGAACTTGAAGTGGGAAAGACAACACCTGGTGATTGCAGCAGGTACAGTACCTGAAGGAAGGTGGTGACGAATATCACAACGCCGACCGCAACATAGTAAACCGCAAACTTCGTCACGTCGCTGATGAACTGATCAGGCGAGATGGTGAAGTTGGTGGCGGAGTAGTTGGTGTTGATGCCGGAAGTCGAGTCTACGACCGAACTGCTGGCCGAGGAGAAGTTGGAGTTCTCGGCACGAATGAACGTGTTAGTCATTCCTCCAATGATCATCGACAGCATTGGCCATCCGGCTCCGTGTATGACGGCGAACAGCGTCCCGGCGGCCATCAAAAGCACGTCAGACCGTTCAGCATATCGAAACTGCAAATATGGAATAATATTCGAAACATTGGTCAAATTACACTACGATTTCGGTTATGCCGACGGCACTCTTGGTCGCCGACCGACCTCCTGTTCCCTCGTCGCTTTTTGCACGACGCCCCCTGAACAACCTGCATCGGCTCTTCGTCTCTTTCGACTGCAAAAGCGGTGTCCACTCATCGTCTCGTTCCGACGCCATACTGACCTATGGCTGAACACTAAACACTAAACACTAAACTTGACGATAACTGCGACGTTGGCGGGCGAATACGTTTGCGTTTCTCACCACTGCTTCCAGAAGTGAAAAGCTGAACATAAAATGATATGATAAGGTTATCAGTGTAACCAGCACAACATCTGCTGTATCGTCATATCAGGTCAGCAACATCCGCTTCACCTCCGGCGTTACATTTTGGGACCTGGGCAACAATGAACTAACACGTTACCCGCCTCGGGTGTTTGTTTTGGCCGTACAGTCGTCCACATGCCTTGACCAATCGTAAGAGCGTTGCCGTGACCACATCACTGGTGAATCTGAATGCGGACACGTGGTATTGTCAACAGGAATACAGTGAACAACAACATTAGACTCAGACGAGTCATATCGCGTTCAAGAAGTCAGATAGTAAAAAAAAAGATATGCTCGATTAGGCGGTGGGCAGTCCTGAAAGTTTGTAAAGTTTGGCGCCAATTTTATGATAATTTTATTAAGTAAATATGGATCAGGAAAGTTTCGCCTTTACGTTTCTTTGGACAAAATCAGAATCGATCATTATGATAATCAGTTAGACCAAGAATTGCGTTTTGAATTAGCGGATGCTCTGATCCTCAATGCGTCCTTCTCATAGTTATATTTGCTTCAGTTATAGACAGGGTTTATCAACTCATGATCGGCACTGTTTCGCTTGTCAGTCCTTTAAAGGTTAATGATGGGTCTTCACCACCACCACATCAAAATGAATATGTAATATACAACGGATGGTAAACGCCTGATATTCGCAATATGATAAGATAACAGCAACTGCACTGAAGGACTGACCGACAT